TTTATTTCCAGTGGGACAACTTCCTCATTAATCTGATAATCTAGCACAATTCTTAACATCCTCCTTCTCTAAATTCTAAAAGGGACTGTTTTTCAATGTAATTTAAATTGTTTTTGAGTGTCTCCTTTTTAACATGATTAAACATTCCAATTACATTTGCTTTAAATAAATATGTAATTAAAATCATGTTTCAAATAAATAAAGGTTTAATTCTTTCTTCAGAAAGTTGGTCAATCTTTGTTAAATTAATTTAACTTTAAATCAAGGTTTTATTATTTTGAGTACTTGACACCAAAATGTGTTAATTTGATTTGTTGTGGTTTTAACCATTTGTAATTATTTGTTACATGATTTTTAATTTTGATTTATTTCATTCTTGCAATAAAATGTACAAGGCATATTTGGTCTCTTTATATGTAATTTATTGTGATTGGAAATTCCTTCTATTAAAAAAATTCTGATAAATCGGAGATCTGATAAAGGTGAATAAATTAAGAATTTATTGTTCAATAAAGTCAGTTTGGTACACTGTTTTGAGAACTTTACCATGTGGTAAAGTGAGGACAAAGTTTCGCCCTCTTTCCACCCTCATCTGATCTGCTAAAACCACCAATAAATAATTTAAAAAAACCAACTTTGCTGTGTTGAACTTGCTTTGTAGCAACATCCCTGTGGCGATCATTCGACCTGAACAGGTGTGCAGGTGTTGCTAATGAAATACTTTGTTAGTTTACATTTATTTGTGGGTGCCTGGTGCTAAGCATTAAAGAGCTTAGAAGGGAGCTTGAAAAGTAGAAGGTTTGAAAAAGTCTCAACAATGCTTTGTTCCAGTGTGAAGTCCCTGAGGGCTGAAGGCCCAAAGACAGAAAAGGAAGAAGGCGTGAATTTCAAAAACAAAAAAAGTGACTAAACGAGCATCCGTCAGCTGAGGAATGTGGAAAGCATACCAACCAGAGTCAAAACAGAGGAAAACAAAAGGCAAAGGCACATTGTCTGTTATCAAACCACTTCAGCTGGATGTTTCACTTTTCATCATCGCAAAGACTTCAAATTGTCAAATATTTATATATAT